ATATTAAATTTCTGACTTTATATCCCTGTAATTATTACACACTGTAGCTTTAAGTGTAAAGCATTGATGACACACTTTGATTCATTACATTTTACACTGGGTTCATAATAACAGGACTAGTCACTGGAGTAATTAGCAGGTCATTTTGTGGTAGGACTAAAAACATCCTGCAAATTAATGTTTGATTATTATTTTTGCAGTTCCCTGCACTTTAATGCAAACTTATGAGCAATTTAGTCCTATGATATAAGCAGTAAAGTTGGTAAAAGTAAAGACTTCTGAAAATCTCAAACTTTCATATGTTCCTCTGTATCAGGCTTTGTGTTTTAAATGCATTTTTGTAGCTGATATTATAATCTTAAACAGATAAAGACGAACATTAAATTTAATATTATATATTGTTTTGCAGGTGAATCAATGCTAGCACTATAGTGGAGTAAGAAAGGCAAATGTTGCAGAAACTCCCCAGATGAATGTCTAGTGCTTTGCCCACCTTAGCAGCTTTGTTGACATTGTCTTCATTACCCATCTTATGGACAAACACAGAGGCAGGTTTCCCGTCTTGGAGAACCGCGGAGTACATGGTGGGTCCGGATGGCAGAGTCAGCAGCGGCTCCTCCAGCAGAGTGCAGCTCCGCACCGCACTGCTCTCCGCACCCATGACCCCGCTTCCTCCTGCCACAATACAGAGCCATAAACCGGTATGACTGAGTGTTTTATCCACGTACACCTACTTGAAGGGTGAGGCGGACATACCTAACTTCCTGGACTGGATGGACCAGGTAGCCGCTCTGTTCAATTAGCAGCTGCTGCTACTGTCGTCTCGCGCGTTAACCTCGTAGCAACGTTAGCCAACATGGCCAGAGCTCTCAATCCTCCAAATCGTGATTTTCACCAAGGGTTGCTGGTAATACAAGCACGCACTTTAGCATGTTATTCGTCTGTAGAAACGTATAAAACAACTTCCATTTAATCTTCGTTAAACCACTGCTCCCGCAGCTACAACCCTGGGCAGCTGTAAACACAGAAACTTCCGGGAACGACCAAACAACCAGGCAGGGGAGAACAGGAAGACAAAATAAAATATAGGTGATTATACAGGAGGGGAAAATTGAAATTGATGGTTAAATCATTTAGAAAATATTAATAGGTGACATTTTAATTTATATAAAACATAAAATCTGAGAAATTTCACAATGAGCTAGTTTTAATTACTCCACACATATACATCTGACACCCTAAATTTTTACTAAATGGTTGCAACCGAGTGGTGTGAGATAAAGCAGATGACTACCACATGGTGCAGAGAAACGGGAAAAAGAAACTAATATTTGAAAAAAAAAAAAAAAAACTTCGTTGCTACATTTGGTCCAAACTAACTAAGCGACGTTTTGTTTGAATAAACGTTTAGATAATAATTTTTTGTTATTAAAAAAACACCACAACAGTATTTATTTCACTGTGTCTACATGTTTGTAAACTACATGCACAGATATTGTGCATGTAAGTTACACTTTTAAGATGGATAGTTTAGGACATTTTATTCCCTAATTTCAGTTTATGTGTTTGTACTGAAGAGGATTAGGGCTACTGAAAAACTAAGAAAAGTTAACTGGTTTAAAAATTTTATTTCACTGGAAAAAAAGTCAGAATTCTAAGATTAAAGTCAAATTCTGAGGAAAAAAAAGTCAGAATCCTGAGATTGAAGTAAGAATTCTGAGAAAAAAAAGTCAGAATTCTGAGATTAAAGTCAGAATTCTGACTTTTTTTTCCTATATGAAACTGAAATAAAATGTAAAAATCTGTTAACTTTTTAAAAATAATTTCAGTGGCCCTAACCATCTTCCGTATGTTTGACATGTGCTACTGCTGTTTAAAATTTTAAGAATTATGGTGGTTCAAAACATGGGTTGGGACCCTTTTTTTTCACAAATTTTGTTGTTTGGGTTTTGGAAGCATTTTCAGAAAGCAATAAAGCACTTTGTTGCTGTTTTTAGCTACAAGAGAGAGAAAAATCAATGATTAAAAAACATAGCTGTGGCTTTCATTTCAATCTGATTTCAGTTTGATTTGATTTCTATTTGATATATATAGTTTTATTTATAGATTTATAGATTTGATTATTATATAATTTGATTTGATTTTTATAATATATACCTTATACAGGTTAGGGTTAGGCATAGAGCTTGGAATCCTGGGGTTGTGAGTTTGAAACCCACCCCCACAGACTGCCACCCTGGGTCTCTCTCTGAGCAAGACCCTTATCGCCCGATTGCTCCCCGGGTGCCCCATGATGGCAGCCCACTGCTCCCCAAGGGGATGGGTTGATTGCAGAGTTAAATTTCCCAATGTGAGATAAATAAAGTTCACTTAAATTATTTTTAAATGACCTTATTGACTGGTAATTTCAATGTTGGTATAAAGCTTTTGAAACATAAATTAAAAAGCAATGACTGTCTAACACATTTAGACTTAACTTTATTTATCCCTTGGGATTACTCCTACTACTCTTATATTGGAGATATCCAGTAAGTTGATTAGTCAGTCTCTTCTTTTGGATGGGATTCAGATACAAAAGTGAAAAATCTTGGTTAATTTTGATCAGGATTTGTAATTTAATTCCTATATAAAAGAGGTTTCTAGAATTCCCTTCTATCATCTAAGGAATATTGCAAAAATTACAAATATCCTGTCCAGGGGTGATGCTGAGAAACTAGTACATGCATTTGTTATTTGAAGGCTCGGCTATTGTCATTCTTTACTATCAGGAAGTCCACAAATCGTAGCTAAAAGCCTTCAGCTGATCCAAAATGCTGCAGCCAGAGTTCTGATGAAAATTAAAAAGAGAGATC